TTTTAGTTTACCTAGGAGCTGCTTTATGAAAGTTGGTGCTCCTATGTTCGGTGCATATATGTTTAGGATGGATATTTCCTGTTGATAGATTGAACCTTTTATCATTATATAGTGGCCTTCTGTATCTTTTAAAATTTTTGATAGCTTTAAGGGTATTTTGTCTGAGATTAAGATCACGACTCCTCATTTCTTTTGTGTTCCATTTGCCTGAAAATTTGTTTCCCATCCTCTTACTTTAAGTCTGTGAGTGTCCTTTCTAGTGAGGTGAGTCTCTTGAAGGCAAAAGATGGTTGCCTGGTGATATTTTATCCATTTTGCCATTCTATGTCTTTTCAGTGGTGCACTTAGTCTGTTCACATTCAAACTAATTATTGAAATGTGAGAATTGATCCCTATCATAATGTTCTTACAGAGTTGTTGTTCTTCCTGTTTATGTGTTGTCTTTCTTTTGGTTTTAGAGTTGGATCATGTGTGTTTTTAATCTTTTGCCTGTACTCTTGTGAAGAACATTGTTGTCTTTTTTCCTTTTCTTCTGTGTTCAATACTTTCTTAAGTGTTTCTTGTAGAGGTGGTCTTGTGGCAGCGTAGGTTCTTAGGGATTAGATATCTGGGAAAGATTTCAATTCTCCCTCACTGATGAAGCTTAGCTTGGCTGGGTAGGTTATTCTCGGTTGAAATTATTTGTCTTTTAGAGCTTTGAAGATAGTGCTCCAAGCTTTCCTAGCCTGGAAGCTTTATGTAGATAAATCTGCCGCTATTCTAATTGGTCTTCCCTGGTAGGTAGTCTGACCTTTTTCTCTTGGAGCCTTTAGGATTTTTTCTTTTATACCTACTTTGTTTAGGTGAATTATTATATGTCTGGGAGTTTGTCTTCTCATTTGTTGTCTTGCAGGGGTTCTCTGAATCTCTTGTGTTTGAATTTTTTCATCCTTGATGAGATGAGGGAAGTTTTCTTGAATGATTTCATGAAATGTTTGTTCCAGTGTGGCTTCTGTTTCTCTCTCTGTCTCAGGAAGCCCAATTACTCTTAGGTTCAGTCTCTTGAAGTGATCATTCATCTCTTGAAGGTTTTGTTCTGTCTTTTTGAGCTTCTTTTCTATGCTTTTGACAGTTTGGGTTAGTTCTGTGTTTTGGTCTTCAAACTCTGAAATTCTTTCTTCTGCTTGGCTAATTCTGCTTTCCATGCTTATTAGTTTGTTATTTATTTCCATCACAGTATTCTTTACTGCTGTTTTTTCTGACACCAGCTCCTTCCTATTCTCCTCTTGTCTCTCCTCAATTTTTTAAATTCTCTCTATTAATGTCTTGATGTCTGGGTTGTTGCATGTGACCAGTCATTCTGGGGGCTCTTCATTGCTTGTGTTCCGGAATCTGTTTTCTCAGTGTCTGATCTCCCAGGAGTCTGTGTGACACCTATATTCTTCTTTTGGTTTTTCTTCATTTGTGTGGTTTTTTCCCCCTCCCTACCTTTTCCTTCCCTCCACGTCACCGTCTTCTTTAATTCTGTTATTCAGGGGTAGAGGGATTGGTTTTACTTCTGTTTGTTCAATCTCCGATTCTTTATGTATGTCCTCTTACTTTGTTCAATTCTGGAGTTGCACTGTAGGTTGGGGGTGGTCTTTTTTGCAATTTTGAGATTTACTTAAGGGGTGGGGGCTGTGATTCAAAATCGATCTGCAGCTCTTGGTATTCGCCGACCGGTGTATGGATAATCTGAAACCCACTTCCCACTGCCTTGGAATCTGTCTGTGCAGTGGGGCTGTAGGTTTACTCCCTGAAATAAAATGTGGTTAGCCGAGGGAAGAGAATGGAGCAGACAGTGGGGGGAAGAGGGGGGTGGAGAGAGAGAGGAGTAAGGGGGGAAACAGACGAGTGTACCAGCAAATAGAGAGAGAGACCTAAACTGAAACAGATAAAAACAACAGACCACAGCTACAGACTAACCAAGTCCCATACCAAAAAAAAAAAAAAAAAATACAATGATGCTAACATACAGGCTAACCAACCACCTTATTGGTGTGCTGTTCCTCTATACAAAGATATGGTTTACAGAGAGGAGAAAAGAGAAGGAAAGGAAGAGGAAAAGAAAAAAAAAGGAACGAAACAGTAGGAGTAGAATTAAGTCATTAAACTAACACACAATCGAGCACACTCTGAGACTTTTCATTTCAGTCCAATGTCCTTTCAGCTCTGATTTCTAGCTTTCTTCTCAAGCTGGCAAATTAGTTCACAGCTGGGGTCAGTTGCCCCTGGCCTGCTGTGAAGGACAGTTCAGATCACCCTCAGTTCACCCCTCAAATTTCAAGCTTGTTTTTCCCGTTTTGGTGCTGTTACCTTGAATGGCCAGCAGGTGGTGCTATCTCAGCTGCTCGCCCCAGAGAGGGTAGAGCCCACCGGAGTCAGGCAGAGGTCGGAGGTGGAAGCCTGCCTCAGGGCACACGGGAAGAGACCCACGGCCAGTAGGACGGCATGGTGGCAGCAGAGGTCACAGTGATCCCAGCAGATCTTGCCTGCAGGGGCTTCAAGGACTGAAGTCGTGGATCGCCTCAGGCACGGGTGGCGCGATGTGCTATGGCCGTCACAGAGGCCGCAGCGGCACTGGTGGCTGATGTGTTGTGGCTGCAGTGGCTGTCCAGACCACTGCGATGCCCCAGTGGTGGTGACCACCAAGCTCCGTGTGAAGAGCAGGCTGTCGATGTTGGGATTCACAGCCCCTGGGGAGAGAGCCAGAGACCTTCTGCGTTCTCCTTTGCAGAGAGTTTCATAGACCGGGCTGCCCCATTGCCATCTTGCCGGAAGTCAATTTTTATTTTTTTAACTTTCAACAAAGCTTTATTACACAAAGGTTGTCACATAATTGGATATCTCTCTATTTTATACACAGTTATTCTTACTCTCCACAGAAAGGCTGCTTCTGAACTTCTCATCTGGTGATGGAAAGCACTAGAATGCTGATTTTACAGAAGAGTGGTAGAAAAGCCTCAGCAATTTAAGTTGAAAGCAGTACATTGGTACATAAAACAGGACTACATGACCTGCACAAAATTCGTGGACACGTGAGCCCATGTGAAAGCCAGGAAAATCATGTCCACTATCACCTATGTAACCGTGCTTTACACACACTCCAAAGCACAATACAGGCTATTGTCGTTATCATCATCATTGCCATCAACTTATGAGCATAAGCAAGAACACCTACCGGAAGTTTATTTGCATTTGACTCCAAAGTTGGTGCATTTCTGGTCACCCCATTCTGTCAACTGAGTCACATGGTGGTTCACAAAGGTTCAGCTGCAGAATGGGAACTCCCATGGAGGATTAGCCATCGTTTGTACCCTTGTATGTGTGCTGGGAGGGCAGAAGGGTAACTGATATCATAAATCAGTCAAAACCACCAACTGTCTAAAACACAGGCATCTTTATAGCTAGCATTGTCATTAGATCAGCTACTCAGTGTTTTCTGCATATATGAAATCTAGGCAATACACTTATAATCCCAGAGGCTTCCACCTGAAGAGATCTGGGCTCTTTCCAAATATAAACCTTACCCAAGAGTAGTCATCTTAGTCACGCCTCTGAGAGGGAGAGACGCAATCTTGCTGGATTGAGTTGTCATAATGGGGCTTAGGGCCAGACTCCCTAGGGGAATAGGATAGTGCAGAGAAAATGTTAATCTTCAGTGTTAGCTTAACGAAATGCATGTTGTGTCTAAGATGCCCATTCCCTTAAAAATAGATACTATTTAAACTGAACAGTGACTGCTGCCCTAGGAAGTGAACAAGGTTGTCAACGGAATAGTACACTGGTTAGTTCACAGTTGACTGACTAAAATGAATGTCTACCTCAGCTGGAAAGCTTACTAAGCAGAATTTGAAGTCGGTCTTCCAAGGTAAAGCCAAATATAAAAACTAGTAAAGGCATTTGGTTATCTCATAATATGTGAGGTGCAGGGCACTTTGGAGCTGTGATTAATTCCAAACAGCAAATAGTTCAAATATATATTTTCAACTTAGCAAATGTATGCATTTGCTTAAACTATCTAAAAAACGAGCTTGTAAAAAATAAATATTCAATAATTGTTAGTTTGCTTGAACTAAGCTGGGATGAGGAGCAACATTTAACATTGCTAGCTAGAAAGGGGTATAAGATTGACGGTCAGAGGGCTGGTGTATGTCGCAGGACATTTGTTAGCCATGTGGATCTTGGACAAATCTGTGTACCCCAAAACTCAATTACTTAACTTCTTCCTTTAAAAAAAGTGAGCTGCAGACCATAAAGCTTGCTTCCAATTTCTCTTACAGAGTTGTGAGAATCTAGTGGAGATGTTTGTTATTAAAGTATTTTGAAAATAGAACAAACATCTTTATCTTGAAGGCATGATTATTTATTTATTTACTTATTTAGAGTTGGAGTCTCACTCTGTCGTTCAGACTAGAGTGCAGTGGCACGCTTACGGACACCAGACTTGACCTGCTGGGATCAGGCTATATTCCACCTCCTGAGTAGCTGAGAATACGGGCATATGCCACCATGCCTGGATGATTTTTTGATTTGTTATTGAAAGAAGATCTTACTATGTTTCTCGGGCTGCTCTTGAACTCCTGGGCTCAGGCAATCATCTCACCTCAGCCTCCCGAAGTGCTGGGGTTACACACATGAGTCACTGTGCCTGGCAGAAGCATGATATTTTTATAGTATGTCAGACAACAGAGAGAAACTAAGCTAGGATGGCATTGATTTGTGGACAATTTATGTACAAATTACTGTATGTTTCGTAAAAACTGGTCAAAATTTTAATATAGTAAGTACCCAGAAAATGACTTTTAATAACATTATACATTATTCAAATAGTCACCTTAATGGATTTTGTAACTATAATAGTCATGTCATAAAGATATTTGAGTAGTCAGTAGATGAAGAAGATTAGAACACAAATATATTTTTGTTAAAGTTATTATTTGCATTTATTTCAAATTGGATTTTTTATGGTTGTGTCACAGGCTGTCTGACTGAACTGTATGAAAATACCTTCTTCAGAGGTGGGGATGTAACTGCCATGTACTCCCCAAGTGCCCAGCACTGCCAGATGATGTGCACGTTCCATCCAAGGTGCTTGCTGTTCAGTTTTCTTTCTGAAAGTTCGACTAAGGACACAGAGAAAAGGTAAAAGTTAATATATGATTATTGAAGAAGCCTTTCAAAATGAAGAAACCTTTCAAAATGGAATCAGTTGTGTGCAAAAAGGTACAGCATTTTGCAGGGTTGCTTTTCAGATAGGGCTGAAAGACCAGCTTCCTCAGAATCTCTGGGAGTGGTTCTCTTATGCCACAACCCAGACCTACTAAACCAAAAATCTCTTGGGCCTGGAAATCTGCATTTTAAACATTCATTGTATTCATTTACGGTAGTGGAAGCTAGTTGTTTTATATACAAAGCCTCAAGAAAAATGCTTGAAAATCATTGAGAGATTATCTCAAGAAGGGTCTAATAACAGGCAAACATTTCATCTGAATAAGGAAATATACTTAACTGTCTGATCCATTATCACATTTGTGGATATGTGACCTGAGAAATCTGTAACATAAGACAAGCATTTTGCTGAGAATATAATAGAGGAAGTCCCAGAACATGTAATCTTGGGAGAGCACAAATCAGAATGGTGCTTGTTGGGGCAGTTTGGACACCTGTGGTACAGTGATATGTTGGGTGTGTGTGTGTGTGTGTGTGTGTGTGTGTGTGTGTGTGTGTGCACACATGCATGTGCGTGCATGTCACATGGATGCTCGTGCACATATGAATCTGTATTATTAACTGGTAGTTTGTTGGGGAAAATGGTTGGTAATTAAAAATCTTTTCAGGCTGTGAACATGCTTATTATGCCTTACCTTCGTCTTCAGTTTCATTTCACTTCATCCAGAATGACCTTTTTTTTGTTTTCCCTTTTCCATACCCATAACCCCTTTTCTCTTATCTTCACTTTATTTGGGTTTAAGAACTAGAAACTGAATAATCATTCTCTGATTCTACCAGTTAAACTCATACAGAAAACTCAGATTGTATGTGAAAGTCATCATATTAAAAGTTGAGTTAGGCTCTAGTAAATAATGAAATTAATGTAAATAATGAAATTAATAATGAAATTAATTTAAGATAGAAATAGGTCTTCCATTGAGTGCAGACTACAAGGAGTTAAAAAGCAAGATGAACACTATATACAGATCCAACTCTTATAACTAATTTAATTTTTTAAATAAATGGAAATATTTACAGAAACACTCACCAACTGGAAACATAGTTACCTGAAAGTTTAGGAACACAGGAAAATTCGTAAACTCTTTAATATGATTGACTTTCTGTACCTAAAAATATATAAGTATAAAGACAGACAAGGCTGAAATTAGGTATTACAAAGACCTTTAGATATTATACAATTACCTGTAAGAGTGTTCTTTCTAGCAAGTGTTGGGAAGTGACATTATTTTTTTCTTATTCTGATTTTATTAGTGTATAGAAAATGCCAGACATTTCCTCAAAGTATGTTTATTATTCTACTTCCTAAGTGTAGTTGCTTTTCAAAACAGGTTTGGTTGCTTCTTGAAAGATAGTGTTACAGGAACCCTGACAAGAATGCATCGGACAGGAACAATTTCTGGACACTCCTTAAAGCAATGTGGTCATCAAATAAGTGGTAAGATGTACATGTCTTAGCTAAATTTGAGTTAGCAATGGATTTGTTTTAGAGCAGCTTTTGTTCCATGTCTGTACTCCTCTGAACTTTTGGAAGGCAACACTCAGAAAGATAGGGGCTGGAGAAGTAATAACGCTTATGGGTAGAAAATTATATACAATAGATTATGATTTATACTGCTCATATACTGCTTTCTTAACCAAGAGTCTAACCAACAAATTTGAGCTTAACAAAAAACATTTTAAAAATAATTATCTACCTTTTGTCCATATAAGATATATTTTAATTCAAAGAATGCTTAAATATAATAGAACTTAACAAAATTTTAAGGCAAGAATGAAAATTGTTTTATTATGCATATATAAGAGCTCTCCACATTGTATAATGATTGACACAGAGTTGTCGAAAGCAGGGCATACAGATGCAGTTCATAATCAGACATGGGTAGCTGAAAGCAGAGAAAGAGTAAGACAAAGAGACGAAGTACCTTCGTTCCGTGCAAGAGGTAAATGGCACTTCTGCTTGTTTAATAATGCAAAGCCCAGCACTCATTATCAGTGTCTTTGTTATTATTAGCTTGGTCATTTCCCACTGCTCACTGATAATTTCAATGTGAAGTATACCTGTACTGCTGCATGCACCTTGCATTGAGGAAGCAAAGTAGCCCCTTTTCAATGCTAGTGCTTTTGGGAGAAGACACTGAACTGAATTTATTTCAAGCAGAGTTTGATAATTTAGGGACATAATAAAAAATTAAATTCCCCAATTGAAAGACAGTTGTCAGAAATGAGCTATTATCCTTCAAAACTACCAAATGGTGTGACTGATCCACCTCTAGAAAGGAAACTGAATTTGCTCTATGCATTTTGTTTGTCCAGCCTGCCACCGAGACATTTATAAAGGGATTGATATGCGAGGAGACAATTTTAATGCATCTAAGGTTAACAGTATTGAAGAATGCCAGAAATGGTGCACCAATAACATTCACTGCCAATTTTTCACATATGCCACACAAACATCTTACGATACAAAATACCGGTGAGTATAATTCATGGTGGTGTTTTTCATGATAGTGCTTCCAGGATTTTGTTGTCTTCTTCATAGCCTCTTTATTTCCACTGAAAACCAAACAGGGATTTTAGGCTTAACCACATTCCTTATTTACTTACTCAATGTTAGTTAGTGTCACTTTTTCCTGGAGAAAATAAATTCCATTTGGTCCACAGATAGGTGGTGCTTGTGGAATGAGGGTTTAATGTCACAGAATAATGTCTTTTGTCTCATTCTCACCCTAACTTTCCCCTGCAGAGAGATGTCTGTTTGATTAATAATACAAACTCCAGTCCACTCATTGTCAGGGTAATGGTTCTAATTGCCTTATTTTCCACTGCAGGTGAGTCCATTTGAATGCCAAATACTGCCTGGACTGCTGCACACATCTCAAAGTGTAGGAAGCAAAGTAATTTCTTCTCTTCATGTTCAGGTACAACTGCCTATTAAAGAACAGTCTGAGAGGAACACCTACCAGTATAAAAGTGATGGATAACGTGGTATCTGGATTCTCACTGAAGCCTTGTGCACTTTCAGAAATTGGTAATTGAAAGACTACTATTTCACCACGTGATTAGAGTAGGCAGAATAAGAGGCCCCCCCCCCCCCAAACCTCCCATCCCCCCCCCCGTGCAAAGGTTTCCATGTGCTAATCCCTGGCACCGTGAATATGTTACTGTACTTGACAAAAGGGTCTTTAAGTTAAGGATTTTGAGATGGAGAGATTATTCTGGATTATTTGGATGGGACCAATATATTCACAAGGGTATTTATAAGAGTAAAAGAGAAGCAGAGGGTCAGAGTCAGAGAGAGAGAAAGAGATTTGAAGATTTTACACTGCTGGCTTTGAAGATGAAGGGTTGGTGAGCCAAGGAATGCAGGTGGTCTCTGGAAGCTGAAAAAAAGCCAGGAAACAGTTTCTCTTATAGAGAGTCTGGAAGGAACACAGCACTGCTGACATCTTTATTTTAGCCCATTGAGACCCACTTTGGACTTCTGATCTCTAGAACCGTGAGAATACATTTGTGTTGTTTTAAGCCACTAAGTTTGTTCGCCTATAACAGCAGTAAGAGGGAAGTAGTATAGTGATACTGTAGAGAAAACTGTAAGGTCGTTTCTTGGTGGTGTCCATATCTAGCAAAACGACTCTACCACAACGAACCAATCAACCCCGTTGTTTCAGACACACAAGTAATTTTAGTTGAATTATCCAGAAAATTGCCATGACATTCCACCTTGTTTAGGATATCTAGATGTTAATGACAAGATGCTGTTGAAAACAAATCACTTATAGCCAGCTCTCCACAGTATTGAGTGCTGGCTCTGTACCAAGGCCTGTATTGAGTGCTGGGTTAAGACTTCTCTGGGAAGACTGGGAAGTTGGCACCAAGGTATCTCTTTCCCTGTGTGTCTCCTCTTTGTGTGCCAGACTGATTATTTCAAGTGTGCTGATGATTTAATTTTGATATTCACCCTATTTTTTTCTGGGAGTGTTTCTGAAGGTACAGACTCCAGGCGGTAGTACCATATTCAAACGTGTTCCATTCTGTCCACGGCACTGTTGCTGAAAGAATTTTTGGTGCTCATCCAGAAAACTAGCAAGCTTGTGCTGAAGCCTAGGGCCCTTCATGGCTCAGTGCACAGTCTGAGGGAGCCTCCCAGATGTCGAATCTCTGACTTCCTGTGCTTGCTTTCTTGTTAACTTACAATCAGCTCACACATTATTTCAACTTGACTTAGTGGCCTTTACAGAGTGATAAAAACCCTACATTTTGGGGGCAGTGTTTTGAGCTGCTAAGGGCATAACTTTTCACGGGGTACAATTTCCCTTATTCTTCAGGGAGCATCTATGCCAGATGCCTCTTAGTTCTTCATAGGAAGGCCATCTCCTGGCCTAACTCCCCCAATGAAATACATAAGTTAGGAGTGCTTTGTAGTCATTACAAAATGTTTGCCCTTAGTTTCACCAAGGAGCCTCCTAATTTTACACACAAAAAAACCTGAGGCTCCTAGAGGTGAAATGTGCTCAAGGTCACACAGATGGTGGGCGGGGCCGGGACTTGAACCTGGATCACATAAATTTCACATTCCTCTCCTCTTACTTCTTTAATGTAATGTCTTCTACCTCTCAACTCCTATATGAACTCGCTATATTTATAGGCTTCCTTCTCTTCTTGACCATCTTCCTGCCTGAATTTTGAAAGGTTTCAGGATAGTCATATTTCTCGTTAATTTGACAAAACAATTTGCAATTCTGTTAGAGAATATTCTTACCACATCATTTAAGTTCTCAAGTGACATGGTGAATGTGTTTTTCAAATAAAAAATGCAAGTATATAAACTGCAATTTAAAAAAAATATTATCACCTCTGAGGGAGAAAGATAGTCTGCTCAATGAAGTTGGGTGATAAAAATTATATGGCAGGAAGCAACACGGTTTCTGAGGATAATCAGGTGACATATTTGAAATAGATAATGTCATGTAAGTCAGTTGGATACATGACTCAAAATGGATGAGACTAAAGGAGGGCTGCCCAACATATTAGATAGGAAAAGCAAAATAAAAGCAATTTTAATAGGTTGGACAATGAGTTGAAAATTATTTAAGATATTTAATGTGGATAAATGTAAAGCTCTTAGGATCATATATACACACTGGAAAAGATGAGGCTTAATAGTAGTCAACAAGATGACTTGAAGGATGTGTTGGAGAATCCACAGCAAAACTGCTGAAAATCAAATGAAAATTTAGTGTTTATTTATATGACCGATGTGTTTATTTTATATGATTTTGTTCTATCAAATTTGATATTTTGGTATAGCATGTATTGTTTTTTCCATAGTTGGCCTGAAGTTTTTGATATATAATTTAGGTAACATAAAATTAACCCTTTAAAAGTGTGCAACTGAGTAGTTTTTTGCAACCATCACCACTATTTAGTTCCAGAACATTTTCATTACCTCACGAGAAACTATGTATCCATTAACAATCATTCTCCATTCCCTCCTCTCCCAATCTCCTGGCAACTGGTAATCTACTGTTTGTCTTCATGAACTTGACTATTCTGGACATTTCATAGAGATGAAATAATGCAGTATGTTTTTGTGCCCGACTTTTTTCACATAGCATAATGTTTTCAAGCTTCATCCATGTTGTGGCACATATTAGTACTTCATTCCTTTTTTATGACTGAATAATATCCTACTGTGTGAATAAGCCATATTTTGTTTATATATTATCAATTCGCTGATGTATGTAACTAGGATTGGAATTGCTGGGTAATATGATAGCACTATGTTAACTTTTTTTTTTTTTGAGTTGGAGTCTCACTCTGTCACCCGGACTGGAGTGCAGTGGCCGCTCCCGGCCACCGCAGCCTCGCCTGCTGGGCTCCGGCGATCCTTCCGCCTCAGCCTTCCGAGTAGCCGGAATTACAGGCGTGCGCTACCACGCCCGGCTGATTTTTTGATTTATTGTAGAGATGAGGTCTCGCTGCCCAGGCGGGTCTCGAACCCGCGGGCTCAGGCAATCCACTCACCTCAGCCTCCCAAAGGCGCGGGATTACAGGCTGAGCCACCGAGCCCGGCTTATGTTAACTTTTTTTGAGGAACTGTCCAATGGTTTTTGAGAACAGCTAGACAATATTATATGCCTTCCAGCAATAAATGAGGGTTTCAATTTCTACACAACCTCAATAATCCATGTTATTGCCTTTTTAAAAATCACCTTCTTAGTAAATGTAAAGTGGTTTCTCATTTTGGTTTTGATATGCATTTCCCTAATGACTAATGATTAGTATATTTTCATGTGCTTATTAGCAATTTGAATACATTCTTTTTGGAAATGCCTGTTCAAATCCTTTACCCTTTAAAAATAATTGTGTTATTTGTGTTTTTATTGTTGAGTTATGAGTTCTCTATATATTTGGGATACTACACCCTTATCAGATATATTATTTGCAAAAACTTCCCAAAGTCATCTTTTCACTCTATTGATAGTGTCCTTTGAAGCATAAAAGTCTTTTAAATTTGATGAAGTCCAGTCATTTTTTTTTTTTCTTGTTTGTGATTTTGGTGTAATATCTAAAAAGCCATAATTTAGTCCAGGGTTATAAAGGTTTATGACTATGTTTTATTCTCAAAATTTTATAGTTATAACTTTTACATTAAGGCATTAGATACATTTTGAGTTAATTTTTGTATATGGTATAAAGTAGGAATCCAACTTAATTTTTTTGCACGTGGATATCAAGTTGTTTCAGCACCAATTGTTGAAGAGATTATTCTTTCCCCAATGAATTGTCTTGAAACCCTTTTCAAAAATCAATTTACCATCAGTTCTATTCCATTGATCTACATGTCTATCCTTCTGCCTGTAACACACAGTCTTTATTACTGTAACTTTGTAATAAGTTTTGAAATCAGACAGTCTGAGCTTTCCCATTTTCTTCTTTTTCAAGATTGATTTAGCTATTCTGGAGCTTTTGCATTTCCTTATGTATTTTGGGATGTTTATCAACTTCTGTGAAAAACAAAAGGCAACCGGGCTTTTGATAAGGGAGTGCAATGAATCTGTAGATCAACTTGGGGAGTTTTGTCATCTGAACAATATTAAGTCCATGAACACAGAATGTCTTTCCACTTATTTAGAGCTTCTTTAATTTCTTTCAGTTGTACTTTGCAGATTTTTTTTGTGTGTAAGAGTCTTGTATTTTCTTTTTTAAATATGCTCCTCTAGTCGGGCGTGGTGATGTGCATCTGTAGTTCTAGCTGCTTGGAAGGCTGAGGCAGAAGGATTGCCTAAGCCCAGCAGGTCGCGGCTGCAGTGACTGTGAGCATGCCACTGCACTCCAGTCTGGGTGAGAAAAGTGAGACTCCAACTCAAAAAAAAAAAAAAAAAATTACTCATAAGTATTTTATCTTTTTTGTTACTAATATCAATTAATTTGTTTAAATTTCATCTTAACATTCATCATTCCTTGTGTGTTGAAATAAAATCATTTTTGTATATTGAGCTTATATCCTGCAACCTTGCTAAACATGTTTATTAATAGATTTTTTGTGGATTTTTTAGGATTTTCTATATACAAGTTTATGTCATCTATGGATAGAGATAATTTTCCTTCTTTTCAATCTGGATTTCTTTTACTTCTTTTTCTTTTATAATTACTCTGGATATTACTTCCAGTACAATGCTGATTGATTTTCATGTGGTAAAGCCATTTCTGGGATAACTCCTATTTGGTCATAGCATTTAATAATTTATGTTGTTGGATTTGGTTTGCTAGCATTTTTGAAGATTTTGAGTGAATATTCATAAGATACATTATTTGGTAGTTTTTTTTTTTTCTTGTGATTGTCTAGATTTGTATTAAGCTAATTCTGGTTTCAAAAAATTAGTTAGAAAGTATTGTCTTTTATTTCCTGGAGGAGTTTTTAAATAATTGCTGTTCATTCTTTAAATGTTTGGTAGAATTCAGAGGAAAAGCTGACTCAGCCAAGGTTTTTCTTTGTAGGAAGTTTTTTTGATTACTAGTTCAATC